GAGGCTCCAGTTCTCTGCATTGATCAAAGCAGTAGTTCTCAACCTCGACTGCGTATCACAATTACTGGGGGTGCTTTTAAAAGTAGCAATACTCAGGCTCCACTCCAGACCAATTAAATTCTTATTAAGTAAAAAGGCTGGACATCAGTTTTTGAACACTCCCGGGTGATTCTAACAGCAGCCAGGGTTAAAGACCAGCAGAGCAGAGGGCCTGCCTGGGCAGCGGCGACAAGCAGGGGCACACACACCAGGCCTCTAACCGCTCCAATGGGAGCTGCGTGCAGCAGACCCAGAGCCTAGCCTGGAGCCCGCACCATCCAGCCAGACTGAAGCCGAGATATCGAGAGACGGAAGTGCAATCCAACCAAGGTGCAGCTGGATTTTGAGGCCTGAATGCCTCCGCGTCCACCAGGGGTCGCTGGGACTAACTCTTGGCAAACTTGTGGCCGGCGGAAACGTCCATGCTTCCCATCCCCGTTACCCTTGGTCAGTGCCACAGATTGGCCTACGGAAGAGCTGAAACGCCGTGTGAGGGACAGCATGCCTATGAAAGGCTCCCAGGAGGAGGCCCTCCTGCAAGTCACCCGGTGATGGCTTCCACAGAGTAGTTAATGCTGTGCCGGGAAAACTATGCTAGGCAGACCTGGTGCAGGAAGACACCGTCGATGCTAGTCACGTGGATGACTGAGCCAGTGAGGAGGGCCGCGGTTTTCTGTGATGGAAGAAGGGTTCCACCTCACAGAGATGAATCTAGCTATACATGTACAGAGACCATCATTCTGCAAGTTGTCAGCCTGAATGAATACAGGTGAAAAGATGAAAATGATAACACAACTACTTTGAAACTTGACTCACTGACATATCTGCTGTTAAAACCTAACCTCAAGGCACATAGATGAAATATTTTTTAAGATTAAAAATTTTGAAAGCAACAAGCAGTGTACTTTTTGCGACTGTAATATAGCAACAGCACTAAGTTAGTGTTCTGTGTCTCCTGGCATTTTGTAATGGATTTTACATATGTATATAAATATATATAAAGATAACAAACCATCAGACCACAGGCTTGTCACTTGACCGGGGGACACGAATATGGGCTGTAATCCATCTTTCCCTTGGGCCCTCTTTCGTCCTGCAGCTTATGGATTCTGGAGCATGTAGAAGCAAAATGTCACTTTGCCCTGCTTCAGTATGACTCAGCACTTCCCGTGTCACGGTTGGGAAACACTTTACACCCTGAGATAAATTAAAACAGGGTCATTTAACTGGTTCTGATCTCAAAAACAATAAAACCTGGAACACTGCCTATAAGCCTGGACTCCCTAGCAAAGCAGTTTTATCCCTGGGTTTTGCTGTGCTGACTGAAGACTTGTCACAGCCTTTGAGATGATAATCATGCGGGAGAGTCGGTGTTTCTCCACCATGAACAGACTCACGTACACTTGGAAACCTTGGTAGGTCTTGCTTTTCCCCTTTAAATACTTGTGTTTTTATCTGGCAAGCCAGTCCTTCTCTTGCTCTCTTTGTAGGTAAACTTTTCCTTTCCTAAACGCTTCTGTCTCTCAGTCTGTCTTCCAAAAGGGTCAAGGCCCAAAGAGTGCTTCGACTCAGAACTGGGTAATCTCCTCTTGAGGGTAGAATGTTCTCTGCAAGTGATGCGATACGTGAAAGGGCTGACAAATGAGAACCCGCTCAGCCCACATGTGTAACCCAAGATGCAGTCCAGCCATGACCATGCCCTTTGGCAGTACCGGACAAATATTTCCCCAGGCCAGTGTCAGACGCTCGTGCTGTAGCCTTGTTAAGCAGGCTTCCACTGTATTAGCCTCCATTCCATTAGGCTAAGTAAGCTTTATAAAACTCTAAATCAAGAACGACCCCAAAGATTACATGTAAAAATACTGGAAATGAACACACACCACGGAAACAAGAGCTCAGCTACTTGAATGACTTTCCTGGAACTGGGTAAAACCTACGACAATAAGCTTTACTGGCTTTTCAGCTAACAGAAAAGCTGTCATAGCAAATCTTACTTGAAATAGTAAAATATAAGCTCAGTGAAGGCAAGGACCTCATCTGTCTTGTCCTCTGCTGTTAATACTGAGCGTGGTATAAGTGCTTTGTAGATACCTGTTAAATGACTGAAATGCGTGGACCTGGAAATCTTCTGGTCCACAGAGATTAGAGCTCTTACAATAATAGCTCTTACAAACTGGGAATCCTCTTGTATCTCACTAAAGTATAAATGCTACCCTATGAGGACAGACCTTTTCTCCTTGGTGGAAATCAAACAGTCCACTCCTAACCTTGTCTAAGAAGCTCTTCAAAAAAGGTGTACCATTTGGGGTGATTTTGTTTTTCCAATTCCAATTCAAAAGCTGAACCAGACCCTTACTGCCAGGGCCTGACAATCTGCATCCCGTTCAGGCATCCACTAGCATCATTAAGCCCAGCACCGCCCTAGACGCAGAACAGACAGGGGAACTTCCCCTTTGGTTGTAACAGCTTCTGACTCGGAGCAGTGTGGAGAGAAGTGTAGATGGGTGGGGGTAGCAAGCCCCAGTCCAAGGGAGGCCCATTCATAGGATGACCAGCAAATCCTGAGGCTGGGCTCGTCCCGTAGGAACAATGGCAGCTACTCAAGTCGTCTGACAGGTTCCTTCAGGATTCTGGACTAGAGATGTACAGAGCATGGGCCAGAAGGAAGAAGGCAGAGGAAGAAATCCCACAGAGGGCAGAGCTGCTGTCAGCAACAGGTATGGAGCAGCTGGCCCCAGCTCCTGAGGGCTCCAGGCCCATTCCAGCCCATGGTTCACCGACCACACACCACATGGTTCCAAGGTGGGAAGAGTTTATAAACAAAGGAGCACACGGACACAAGACAATTGGTTTAACAGAAAACTGACATCAAAACGCCAAAACACATGATAATAATGCTTAGTCTTCCAAGGACAGGAGAGGAGGTTTATTAATGCTTGGTCTACAGTGCCTAGCACAAAGTAAGCTCTCAAACACTTGTTCAACGACTGAACAAAAATTGGAAGCAGAAATAACAAAATTTTGATATAAATACCTGACATAACCTTTCTTTGAATTGAATTACTCAGCACATGATTGATACTGAGCTGATTATAACGGGTCAAAAATCTGCCTAGAGTTTGAAGCAATACTAACGAAAGTCTGTGTTTCTCTATCCTCTTCCTATAGCAGGTCTCTTCTGGAAAAATGGGATTAGGACACTATCTAATCCAATAATAAAAAGAAAAGAAAGTACCCCCAAAAATTAAAAATAGAATTAATGTAGGATCCAATAATTTCACTTATGGGAATATACTCAAAAGAATAGAAAGCAGAGACTGAAACAGATAGCTATACATCAATGTTCATAACAGCATTATACACAATTGCCAAAAGGAGGATGCAACCCAAATTTCCATCAACAGGTAAATGTATACACAAAATATACATACAATGGAATATTATTCATCCTTACAAAGGAAATTCTGACACATGCTACAACATGGATGAACCCTGACGACATTATTCTAAGTGAAATAAGCCATTCATAAAAGTCCAAATACTGTATGATTCTACTTACATGAGATACTTAAGAGCAGTCAAATTCATAAAGATGACTACTAGAATTAGTAGGTAATCACACTGTAAGGTATAAAAATGTCAAATCATATATTCCACACCTGAAACTAATATGATGCATATAAGATTGTATACCACTATACTTAAATTAAAAAATTAATATCACTGGTCTTTCAGGTGAAAAAAATTTGTAAAGACAGAAAGTACAATGATGGTTGTCAGGGGCTGGTGAGGGAATGAGGAGATACTGTTTAATGGGTACAGTTTCAGTTTTGTAAGATGAAAAATGTTCTATGGATGACGTCAGTGATGGTTGCACAATAATGTGAATGTACTTAATGCAATTGAACTATATACTTAGAATGGTTAAAATAAAAAATTTTGTTCTGTATATTTTATCTCAATTAAAAATAAATAATTTTTTAAAAGCACCTTATAAACTCAACAAGTTGTTCAGAAGCTAAAAAGCCCAATCCCGTAGGCTACTCACATCGTCGAACAACTTCAAAACATTTCTCCAGGCCATCCATTAACTTACATAACCAAATGCATCAAAGGCAAGCCGCAATAAATTTAGAGACCAGACACTGACAGCATCCTACAATTAAAATACAAGCCTATGTAACTTTACTAATAATTGTCACCCCCATAAACTTTAATAAGAGAAAAGAGAGAAAAAAATAAGCCAAAAGAAAGACATGAAAACAATATACAAGAATTAACAGCCACAGTGCAAGAAGCTATGGGATCATCTCTGAAAGAATTAAAAGAAACAAACAAGGCAGAAACAGAGGACAAGAGGAGACAAAATAACCACAGAAAAATGTTGGAAAATAAAGAACAATTCTCTTTGACTGTAAAAATTGTGTTATAAAATTTTAAATCATGAAATATGAAACTGTTTATACTTGAATAAAAATCCAATTCAATTTCAACCTAGTTCAAAAGCCAACTGGCCAGGGCCGGCCGAGTGGCGCGATGGTTAAGAACTCGCTTGGGATGCCAGA